GCTAACAGCAGTGAGAACAGTCATAACAGAATTGGAAATATCAATAGAAAACAGAGGTTTTTAAAGAAGGTAAATTGCTACTGCTTCTGAATCTGCCATGGACCTCATTCTCAATTCTGCTCCTACCACACCACAGACAAATTCATTCTACATTAAACCACCTCATTTTTAATGTACTGAAATATAAGCACACTGCTTGGAAAATATCATGAAAAAATATGAGATGCAACAGATAATAAATAATATAAGTAAGTGAAGAAATTCATTAGTCTACCCATCAAACAATTATAGGTGAGCAAAACTCAGGTAATAAACTCTGAACACTCAGATTTGTGTTTTTAAAAAAAATCCCTGTGGCCTCAATATAGAGCACAAATGAAACAGAGTGAGCATAAAGGCAAACAGACCCACCTCTAAAGGACAAGCAGCGCTGAACAACGCAGGGGCACGCACGCCGATGTTCACTGCAGCATTATTGCAACAGCCAACATATGGAAGCAATCTAAATGTCCATCAACAGATAAATGGATAGACACGATACATATATACATCCAACATCCACCGATCATACAAAAAGCAAGAGAATTCCAGAAAAACATCCACTTTTGCTTCACTGACTACGCTAAAGCCTTTGACTGTGTGGATCACAACAAACTGTGGAAAATTCTTAAAAGAGATTGAATACCGGACCACCTTACCAGCCTCCTGAGAAACCTGTATGCAGGTCAAGAAGCAACAGTTAGAACCAGACATGGAAAAACAGACAGGAACATCAAGGCTGTATGTTGTCACCCTGCTTATTTAACTTATATGCAGAGTACACCACATGAAATGCCAGACTTGATGAATTACAAGCTGGAATCAACACTTCTGGGAGAAATATCAACAACCTCAGATATGCAAATGATATCACTCTAACAGCAGAAAGCAAAGAGGAATTAAACAGCCTCTCAATAAGGAAGAAAGAGGAGAGTGAAAAAGGTGGCTTAAAACTCAAAGTTCAAAAATGGCATCTGCTCCCATCACTTCATGGCAAATACATGGGAAAAAAGCAGAACAGTGGCAGATTTTATTATCCTGGGCTACAAAATCACTGTGGATAGTGACTGCAGCCATGAAATTAAAAGACGATTGCTTGTTGGAAGGAAAGCTATGACAAACCTAGACAGCGTGTTAAATGCAGAGACATCTGCATTTGTTGACAAAGGTCCGTAGAGTCAAAGCTATGGTTTTTCCAGTAGTCATGTACAGATGTGAGAGCTGTCCTGTAAAGAAGACTGAGCACTGAAGAATTGATGCTTCCAAACTGTGGTGCTAGAGAAGACTCTTGAGAGTCCCTTGGACTGCAAGGAGATCAAATCAGTCAATCCTAAAGGAAATCAGTCCTGAATATTCACTGGAAGGTGTGATGCTAAAGCTGACGTTCCAATATTTTGGCCACCTGATGCGAAGAGCTGACTCACTGGAAAAGATCCTGATGCTGGCAAAGACTGAGGGCAGCAGAAGGGGGCAACAGAGGATGAGATTGTTGGATGGCATCACTGACTCAACAGACATGAGTTTGAACAAACTCCAGGAGATGGTGAAGGACAGGGAAGCCTGCACCCTTGGAGTGCTGCAGACCATGGCACTGCAAAGAGTTAGACAGGGCTTAGTGACTGAACAACAACGAAACACAAACACAATGGAGTATTATACAACTATTAAAAAGAAATCTTGCCATTTGCAACAACATAGGTATTGCTGTTGTTGTTTAGTCACTAAATCATGTTTGAATCTTTTTTGACCCCATGGACTGTAGTCCACCAGGCTCCTCTGACCATAGGATTTCCCAACCAAGAATACCGGAGTGGGTAGCGATTTCCATCTACACAGGATCTCCCCACCCCTGGGTTCAAACTCTAACCTCCTGCTTTGGCAGGTGGATTCTTTACCAGTGAGCCACCTGGGAAGCCCCAAAGGGTATTATGCTATGTGAAATAACTCAGACAGAGGAAGATAAATACTCACATGACCTCACTTATATGTCAAATCTAAAAATCAAAAGAAACAAACAGAATGAAAACAGATTTCAATACAGAGAACAAATGGATAATTGCCAGAAAGGGGGCGGGGGGGAAGCAGGGGAGTGAAATAAGTGAAGGGGATTAAGAGGTACAAACCTTTTAATTCTCAACATCCTTATAAGTTATTCCTTACTTTACAAAAGGGGGGGCTCATTTAAAAGATACCCAAACTTAAGTAGCTATATCTTAGCAGAGCCTAGATCCAAACCCAGGTTGTCAAAACCCAAAATCAAACTTCTTTAATGTCCAGGTTCCTTCTGGCATGAACTGAGTTCAACCAAATTTGACTATTTATAGGAAATGAAATTGTCTGTTCATCTTGTACATCCTTTGGTAATGTATAAAACTACAAAAAGGATTCTAATGTGATATGTCCTTCTAATGTTGGGCTTGCTGTATAAATTTTATCTTGTGTTTAATTTTCAGAAACAATCTTTACTCTTATTAGTAAATGCTATCATCAGTAGACTGAGGTTTGGAAAGGAAGGAATATACATGATTCATTCATTTTTCTTGAAAACATTGAGTTTGAAGTGTTTCTAGGAAATTGAGATGGATAGGCCAGTAGGCAGCAAAATAATACAGGTAGATTCTAGTAGAGACTTCCCAGGTGGCTCAGTGGTAAAGAATCTGCCTGCCAATGCAGTCAACTCAGGTTTGATCCCTGGGTTGGGAAGATCCCCCGGAGAAGGAAGTGGCAACCCACTCCAGTATTCTTGCCTGAAAAATCCCATGGACAGAGATGCCTGGCGGGCTAGTCCATGAAGTCACGAAGGAGTAAGACAAGACTCAGTGTCGAGACAATAACAAAGACATAGATTTGGCAGTGGCACTAAGAAAGTCACAGAAACTATTTTGAATTTGTTCACCAGGGAAACTAGTGAGTAAGATGTATCTCATTAACTAGTGAATAAAAAATACTAACATTAAGTGTCTACACTTGACCCTCAGTCATCTGGACTTACGTATGTATATATACATATATAACTGTGATGTTTAATTATGCCTTAAACATAATATCTGTGTGTGTGCGCACTCAGTTGTGTGACTTTGCGACCACATGGACTGTGGCCCGCCAGGCTCCTTTGTCCATGGAATTTTTCAGGCAAGAATACTGGAGTGGGTTGCCACTTCCTTCTCCAGGGGATCGCAGGAAATGAACCTAAGTCTCGAGTCTTCTGCATTGGCAGGTGGGTTCTTTACCAGCTGAGCCACCAATTCCTGAAAGTAAACCAACCAAATTCCTAATTTTCCTAACTTAGGTCTAAAAATGGTCATCAAGATTTAGGCAGGTTTTATACAAAATTCTACATCCAGACACTCAGTAAAATAAAGTCAGTAAAATAAAAAACCAGGCTCCTCTGTCCACAGGATTCTCCAGGCAAGAATACTGGAGTGGGTTGCCATTTCCTTCTCTAGGGGATCTTTCCGACCCAGGGGGACCGAACCCAGGTTGCCTGCATTGCAGGCTGATTCTTTACTATCTGACGCACTGGGGAAGACCAATTACAAAACAGAAAATGAAATTTACAGAGGCGGTACCAAACTGTGCAGGGTCACACAACACTGGTTCTTACACAAAAACATGTAAAAAGCAATATTGTGGTAATCTCCAAACTTCTTTGTACTTACTGGCATTCAAGGGAAAAAAAAGCGGAAAACTGTAAACACACAATTCTACAGGAAATAATTACTCTGCATATTTCTCACAATAAAAGGAGATAAAGTGAATCTTAAGTATTTCTAACATGCTCCCTTACGACCCATACACACCCATGGAACTATCTACAAGCCAGTGCATAAGATAGTGAGCATTTTAAAAAACTACCCAGCAGCCATCTAAAATCCGGAAATTTGGACTTTTTCTTCTTTTGAGTATATTTCAGAATAGCTTGTATTTAGAACACTCCCTTTCAATCTCACGACATGTACAGAGTAGCAAGCACTCACATAAGTTCTGTGTTCAGGGTTTAAACACCAAATAGCTGCTTCCCTAGGAATTAGCACAGCACCCTCTTATGCCCCTCCACCTTTAAGCTCTGTGTTCTGGAATTCCCAGTACTGATTCTCCTCCAATTCATCTCCACAAGAAAATCAGGGGTAAAGACATGCCATCATAAAGCCTCCGATCTTCACAATTTAAATTTTTCTAGGTAACAGTTTTGCGTTCTCCTGAAACTGGCATTTAGCAACAAAGCCACCTTCAGATATATTTACACATATCTCTTAAATGTTAAGTTGTTACTTGTAAGGGGTCATCAGAGGGGGTGATAAGAACCCAATACCCGAGCCCAAACTCATCCCCCTGACCTTCTCCCCCTCAAACCACTCATCAAAGCCTAAATAAGGGGCCGTTCGGGGCCGGGCGCCGGGTTCCCTTAGGCTAGTGGGAGACGGGATTTTTCAAGCACCGCCGCCAGAGCCGTCCGAGGGAGGGGCCCCGCGGACACCGGCAAGTTTCCTGTAGCTGAAGGGACCCGCGCCGCCCGCGGAGAGGGCGCGGAGATCACCGGCGGCCGTTGACCCGCGCGCCCTGGGCACCGCCGCGGCTCCACCGACCCGGCCGCCAGCGGGTGGACTGAGGGAGGGCGCCGGCCACGGGAGGTTCCGAAGCAAGAGAGCGACGGAGCGCGCCCTCAGCCTACCTCGAACAAGTCGAAGTCTCCCCCAAGGAACCCCCGATCGGCGGGGCTGCCGCCGCGGCACAAGGCGCTAAAGCCACGTTGGTGGACTCTCTTAGTCGACCCGACAGCCGTTGGTCCGCGAGACACAGCGCGCCCCCCGCGGGAGAAGGCAGGAGCCCCGCCGCCCCCGGCGCCCACCTCGGGACGCTCAGCGCCTGCGCCCCGCCCCCCCTCCGCCCGCCGGGACTCCGCCCGCGCGTGCGCGCTGTGGGGTTTTCGCGCCACTGGAGTCTAGGAGGCGGGGCCGGAAGTGCCCCCTGGGCGGACAGTGGGGATGCTGGGAGGGGCGCCGGGGCTCTGCGACTGTGGGACGCGTGGAGCGGAGCGGGGCGGGTGAGTTGCCTAACTTAAAGCCGGGAGAATAAAAAAAAAAAAACACCCTGGAACCCCCACGGCGGCGACAGTTCCGCGCATGCGTACAGCGACTGGCTGGGCGCTGCAGCGGAGTGTGCGGCCACGGTCTCGGAAAGGCGGAAGTCACTTCCCGGAAGAGGCGGAGCCGGGTGGCTGAGGCGCCGGATTCAAGTGGTTTCCGGGAGCCTTCTGGGCTTGATTGCTAAGCCTCAGAAGTCTAGGTTTTGCTTGGGGAGGGAAAAAGGAAGTTTTCATTTTCTTTCATTTTCTTTTTTTTTTTTTTTGAGTAGAGGAACATTTAGAAACTTGGAGGCAGCAGTAGTTAGAATTCAGACCAAACTGATAAATGACAGAAAGGCGTCTTTCAAAAACCAAGGAAGCAGGGTTGTCCCGGTAAGTCCCGCGCGGATCTGTAGAGACGGCCCCGCCCAGACCCCTCTACCCGCTCCTTTGCTATCTGGAGGCGATTGCAAGCTGGTTGGGGGCGAGCTCTATGTTCGTGTCCCTATCTCGCCCGCCCCTCCTCCCAGGACACCGCCCGTGGTTCTTCTGGGTCCAGTAGGACCGCGGCCCGGAACTCCTGGCCGGGCCCCTGCTCTCCGAGCCCGGGGTCTCCCCGCTTCCGGCGCGCGCTCGCCCCCGCGGGGGAGATGTCCGGCGCCGCTAAGCGCAGAGCCGAGGCCCTGGGTCCCGAATGGTCTCGCCCGGGCCCGGTGGGGCAAAGTCCCACGCCTGGTGCGAGGCCATCCTGGGCGAGCCTTTCTCGATCACCCTGTGGGCACACTTAGGTGTTCCTCCCTTTCGGTGTTAACTCTGTGTTTGAAAATAACATCCCTTGTAGCAATTACCTTAAGGCTTTGTGGTTGTTTATATATACAAACTTTCTTTCCCGCCCCCACCCCCACCAGCTCGTGCCTGGTTTACATTGTAAACCCTCTCAATGAACACCGGAACTAAAGAAAGTGTAAATCCTTGGCTTAGCTTTCAGTGCTTTACTTCCCACTTCTGTCTTTACACAACTCTTCGCGTGACATGCTAATCTAACTATGTAATCCACTTTCTATACTCCAACACTTCCTTTCTAGATGAAAAAAAGATATTTACCGCTAACCCAGAACACCCCTAAAGAAACTAATATCTAACTATGCTTCAGTTCAGTTCAGTCGCTCAGCCGTGTCCGACTCTTTACGACCCCATGAATCGCAGCACGCCAGGCCTCCCTGTCCATCACAAACTCCCAGAGTTTACTCAAACTCATGTCCATCGAGTTGGTGATGCCATCCAGCCATCTCATCCTCTGTCGTCCCGGTCTCTTCCTGTCCCCAGTCCCTCTCAGTATTAGGGTCTTTTCCAATGAGTCAACTCTTCGCATGAGGTGGCCAAAGTATTGGAGTTTCAGCTTCAGCATCAGTCTTTCCAGTGAACACCCAAGACTGATCTTTAGAATGGACTGGTTGGATCTCCTTGCAGTCCAAGGGATTCTCAAGAGTCTTCTCCAACACCATAGTTCAAAAGCATCAATTCTTTAGCGCTCAGCTTTCTTCACAGTCCAACTCTCACATCCATACATGACCACTGGAAAAACCATATCCTTGACTAGATGGACCTTTGTTGGCAAAGTAATGTCTCTGCTTTTTAATATGCTGCCTAGGTTGGTCATAACTTTCCTTCCAGGGAGAAAATGTCTTTTGATTTCATGGCTGCAATCACCATCTGCAGTGATTTTGAAGCCCCCAAAAATAAAGCCTGCCACTGTTTCCACTGTTTCCCCATCTATTTCCCATGAAGTGATGGGACCAGATGCCATGATCTTAGTTTTCTGAATGTTGAGCTTTAAGCCAACTTTTTCACTACCCCTTTACTTCTAAAGATAATCAAATACATGCTCCTGTCGTAGCCCTTGCTATGACACACATATGACATAGTCAAAATAGATGAAAACTCTATAGCCTCAGGCCGAAGTAGTCCTTGTTGGTAAGAGATGGGAAACATGGTTGGGAGGTCTCTGCTTAGCTGTCTCTTCCTTTAGGAAGCCTTCCTTGATGCCCTGCACTAAATAAGCTGCCTTCTTCAGATCTATATACTCCTCTTCCTCTAGTTCTGTAGCCTTACTTCTGTGCCTGTACTTGTCTCATTGTTGAAATTCCCTGTTTATCTCTAAACTCACCTAACCACAGTCCTTAAATACAGGGCTTGATCTTTCACTATTGTATCTCCAGCACCAAGAAGAGTTCTGGTAAATTATAAGCATTTAATAAGTGTTTACTGTTAGGTTAAGCCTGGGTTATATTATGCTTCAAAGTTTAGGCTAAATTCAGATAAAATAAAAACAAGAAATAATAAACATAGCATTAATTAGTGAAATTATGTGGTATATTCTATACAGTATAATCCTGTACTGAAATAAATTTTATACAGTTTACCAAACTTTATATGAAAATACAGTTATCTACATGAGAATTGGGAAATTAAAAGTATTTCCTGCTTTATCATTAAAAAGATTTCTAATGTTTATGCCTGAAATAAAACTGGAAAAATTACTTTAATAAAATGTATATTTTTGCATAAATAAAACCATTGACCTCTTTTTGTGCTCTTTAAATTTGATTCATTAGTGGAATTAGCAAGGTTCTGTGCTTTTCTCACCTCATTCAGTTTTATAATTAACCAATAAAAGCTTATTAGCTTTTAAGGAAGTTTTAGGAGCATAAACTGATTTATGGGCACCATATGGTTACATCAAAGGATTTGGTTTTGTTTTAATCTGAAGGGGATTCTTAAGCTCTTTCTTTAAACTAGAAATCCGTGTTCTTTCTACCAAGTGATAATCTGAAATAAGAGTTTAAATACCAGGCTATCAAAATTGATGATGAGATTCAAAGAATGTCAGAATCTTGTAATTCATCTGGTTTGTAATTCACCTCTCATTTTGTAGATAGGTTAAATGTCTTCCCAAGGTTACACATATAGTTAATGTATATCCAAGATCAAAATTCTAGGTTTTCTATCCCAAGTCCAATGCTCTTTCACTAAAGCAAATAAATTGAAGCCACTAGTAAGGCTATAAAATTATTTACTATGGGTTTCTCTGACTTTCTTATTCACATAAGTGTCCTTGCATCATATTAATTCTTAAGAATTATGAGTATTTTAGGAGATTCTTTTTATATAAATAATATACATTGATTGCATGAGCAGATTGATGTCAATGAAGTCATTACATTATAAAATATGAGTAGAGACTCATCAAATCCTACAGCACAAAAAAATTCAAATTTCACCCTATTTAAGTAAAAATGGAACATAAAATTATACACAGTTTAGGGTGAGTTTGCTCTGTGCAGTGTTTTGAAATTTTACCTAATGCTGAGCTATTTTCAAGTAACCTTTTCAGGTTGATCATGACCTCATGCAAGAACCATCAGTTCTATCTTTAAGTGTAGTTGTTCTTGGATATCTTAAAAATTGTTACATTCTGTCCCTTTTTGGAACTTTAAATGCTTTACAGCCTTACCATTGCTACTTAATATCACTTCAGAAGCAGAGCTGGTGCCAAGAAAGGGACAAAGAATGAAATGGCTTCTGTGTGTAGCTTCTAATGATTGTGTAGGAGGTAAAAAAAGTGGAAGCAGGGAGGCCAGATTGGAGACTGCAGAAAGAACTAAGGGAGTCTTCTTTAGAAATGGGGATTTAGGGTACGTTTTTGGAGACAAGGGACTTGCTGATCAAGTTGCTGTTAGTAAAGAGAACAATCAAGAGTGACAGCTAGGTTTTTGGCCTAAGCAACTGAGTATTTGGGAATAACTAAGGGTAAACAGTTTTGAGGAGAGATGGTGGAATCAAGAATTAGATGCTGATTGTCAGTTTAATTCAGTTGCTTCGTCGTGTCTGACTCTGTGACCCCATGGACTACAGCACGTTAGGCTTCCCTGTCCATCACCAACTCCCGGAGCCTGCTCAAACTCATCTCCATAGTGTGCATCCATGTAAAGATAAAGTAGGAGATTAGATTTTCTTTATCAATAACTTAGAGAAAGGAACTCCCTGACAGTCCAGTGGTTAGAACTGTGGGCTTCCATTGCAAGGGGCTTGTGTTGGGGAACTAAGATCCCTGTGCAGCCTAACCAGAGAAGGAGTACAGTTTACATTTCAGTCCTATACATAAATGTGTGTTTGTATGTGCCATGACAAACAACACTGCACTATGTGACACCCAACACTCTTCATTCGCTACTATCCATTTATATATGTGCAGTCAACCTATGTAGTGAAACGTTAGAGCCGTGGTTGGAAGGAGTGATCTTTATTTATTTTTTTAATTAATTATTTATTTTACTTTACAACATAGTACTGGTTTTGCCATACATTGACTTGAATCTGCTACGGGTGTACATGTGTTCCCCATCTTGAACCCCCTCCCACCTCCCTCCCCCTCCCATCCCTCTGGGTCATCCCAGTGCACCAGCCCCGAGCATCCTGTATCATGCATCAAACCTGGACTGGTGATTCATTTCACATAGGATAATTTACATGTTTCAATGCCATTCTCCCATATCATCTGTCCCTTGCCCTCTCTCAGAGTCCAAAAGACTGTTCAATACATCTGTGTCTCTCTTGCTGTCTCGCATATGGGGTTATCGTTACCATCTTTCTAAATTCCATATATATGTGTTAGTATACTGTATTGATGTTTTTCTTTCTGGCTTACTTCAAGGAGTGAGCTTTAGATCTGGAAGGGCTGGGGAAAAGATGCACCTTGCCTGAGACCACGTGACTCAGGTGTTCTGCAAGAAACCAGAAGGTGTGACTCTCATCCCTAAAAAAGCCATACTGAAGTCATGTTTGATACTCATGCATTCATAAAGTTATAGAACATTGCTTTTTATTGACCACATATTTAATTGAAATATGACTACATCCATATTTCATTACTTAGTATTTAGGCAAGACAACCTTGATTCTGCATATGCTGCAATGTCACCCACATTCAATCTGTGGGCCTTCTTGTGAAATAGACAGTACGAGCACTGGAACCACCATTAGCTAATGCTTTCTTCTCTTTTTAAATCTATAATCCTTCTAAAGTGACATATGAGCAAATGTTTGTGCAGCTCTTCATAAAAATGAGTGCACAAAATACTGCTTGTAACACTGGCCACATTTAAAATTAAGATTCAGAAAAGGACAGCCATGCTTCCAGCATTTATTTTCTTTGCAGTCATGTACAATTTGAGAACATTTACTTTTACTATGGACTCTGTTAAAGGAGCAGACAATACGGTTACATTTTATTTAGAATGGTTTTACATTATGATGAGTTTTTGTCTTAATATGTTTTTGTATCCTTTCTTGTGTTTTTAGAATAAATTAAGGTCATTACTCAGAGGATATCTGTTCTATATCTGTCTAGTCCAAGCTATGGTTTTTCCAGTAGTCATGTATGGATGTGAGAGTTGGACCATAAAGAAAGCTGAGTGCGAAGAATTGATGCTTTTGAACTATGGTGTTGGAGAAGACTCCTGAGAGTCCCTTGGACTGCAAGGAGATCCAACCAGTCCATCCTAAAGGAGATCAGTCCTGGATGTTCATTGGACGGACTGACGCTGAAGTTGAAGCTCCCATACTTTGGCCACCTGATGCAAAGAACTGACTCACTGGAAGAGACCCTGATGCTGGGAAAGATTGAAGGCAGGAGGGGAAGGGGATGACAGAGGATGAGATGGTTAGGTAGCATCACCAACTCAATGGACATGAATTTGAGTGAGCTCTGGGAGTTGGTGATGGACAGGGAAGCTTTTGGTGTGCTGCAGTCAGTCCATGGGGTCTCAAAGAGTCGGACATGACTGAGCAACTGAACTGATCTGTAATATAGTCAGACTGAATCTTCAAATGCTACGTAATACTTTTTATCAAATAATGATAAAGGAAAATAAAAACAGCTATAGATGTTTGATAAAGGAAAACTTGCATATAGAAAATACCAAAGCAGGTTACGATAGCAGAGCTTAAGCCAATTTTGTTTTTAAAATATCATGTACATAGAAAACAGATTTACATTAGTTTTTTTTGAATAGTGAAACTGTGCTGCTGTACTCAGTCGCTTTAGTCATGTCCAACTCTTTGCAACCCCGTGGACTGCAGCCCGCCCTACAGGCTCCTCTGTCCATGGGATTTCCCAGGCAAAAATACTGGAGTGGTTGCTATGCCCTCCTCCAGGGGATTGTCCTGATCCAGGAATCAAACCTGCATCTCTTACATTGCAGATGGATTCTTTACTGCTAAGGCACCAGGAAAGCCCAAATGGGACAATAGGTCATTTTAAAATATTTTTCTTTAAAAAGATGTTTTATTTTCCCACAATGAACATGTGTGATGTTGTAATTTAAAAAGCCAATGCTCTATTTTAAAAAAATAATTACGTATTCCTTCAATTCTTCATTTTCTATCTCCCGCCATTTCTCCGTCAGTTTTCCTTCATTAACCCTGTGTTTTTATCTTTTGTTCATGTGTTTGCATTCTTCCTTGTTTTTGTCTTTTTGTTTTTTCCTGATTATGATAGAGGACTAGTCCTATTCTTTTTAGGTATGTAAATCAAGGAGTGAATTCTCCAGAAGACAAATACACATTACCAGATCCTTCGATTTTCTCTGCATTTGTTAGCTCTTATTATTCACTGGAGCAAAGCCAATTACCACCCTTTGGGATGAGGGTAATTTTTCCTTTATTTTCCAGATTTCATGCAATATTAATGTGACCATGTGAAAAATTTTATTCTCAGCCACTGCTACAGGCATCGTGGAAAAGAAGAAAGAATGAAGAGGGACAACCATTGACATTTGGTGACTTTAAATTTTAAAGTTTTTTTTTTTTTTTTAATTTTAAAGTTACTTTATTTTTCAGTAATACAGAGAAACATACTGGATGACATGAGTGGATTTTAAGGACAAATTCAGCATACTATAATCTATTAATAACATTTCAGCTGCTACATCAGTATTTTTGTAGCTACTGAGTGTATTACCACCATTTTTAATGTTTCAGGTATTCTTGATTCATCCTGAAGAGCTGACCAGTAAAAGAAATGAGAATACTATTTATGAATCATCCCCAACTAGCTCAAAATACACTGTCTAAATTTTTGTTCTGAGCTTCTATGTCTTTTAACAATCTTTTGAAAAGTTTGTTTCAAATAACAGCAGGTAACCACCAGGATGGGAGTAAATGACTTGTGGCAAATTTTGGAGCCTGTTAAACAACACGTCCACTTGCACAGTCTCAGTGGGAAAACCATTGCTGTTGATCTGAGTCTCTGGGTGTGTGAAGCACAGACAGTCAAAAAAATGATTGGGACAGTCATGAAGCCCCACCTCAGGTAGAGTAAACATTCTCAGAATATAGATACGTGATGGAATAAGCTGCGGATGTCTTGGTTTTGTTTCCACTTCATTTGTTTTGTTGTTGCTGTTTTGCATTTTGAGATTTTAAAATGTATTAACATGCCCACATCTGCCGTCTCCATGTTGTGTGCATGTATGCTCAGTCAGTCAGTTGTGTCCAACTCTTTGCAACCCTGTGGACCATAGCCCAGCAGGCTCCTCTGTCCAGGGGATTTTCCTGGCAAGAATACTGCAGTAGATTGCCATTTCCTCCTTCAGGAGACCTTCCTGACCGAGGGATTAAACACGTGTCTCCTGCATTGAAAGGCAGATTCTTTACCACTGAGTCACCTCATACAGGTGACTCACAAATTTTTATCTCATACCCTTGAAGCTTCAGACTCATATACCTGCCTGCCTATTTAAATATTCCCCTAGGATGTTTCAGTGACTAAAAGGCAAGAATTTTGGAGCCATTCTTCCCCTGCTTTACCTCTCCCCATATCCAATCCATCTGAAGTCTTGCCAGTTCCCCTTTCAGAATATATGTCACATTCACAAACTTCTCTCCAGAAGCACTACCTCAGTGTGTGGCAGCGTCTCTTGTCTGCCCTGTTGAGATGAAGTTTTTCACTAGCTTCCCTCCCTCTTCTCTTGGCCTCCTCCTCCTCCAAACCATTTTCACATAGCAATTAGAATAATCATAAATCTCCTTTGCTAAAAAAACAAGCAGTGGTTTCTCAGCTCAGTCCATTTAAAATGATAATAAGTAAGACATTATTGCATGTAACATTTTTGATACTAGTGTCTTTGCCATGTCATTCTGCAATGTTGACTTCTGCTATTCATGTATGATGATTAAAGTATCGTTAACTATTTCAGAAATCTGTTTTTTCGTATCTCATATTTAATGCTAATGGATGTAAAACTGGTGTTCGTTATGGAAGGGGAACCCCCGAACCTGAAAGCTGATGTCATTAGTAAGAGGAATCAGGTCCGGTATGGACCTTCTGGAAAAACACGGTCTCAGAAAACAGGGAGATCACATTTTAAGACAGTCTTAAAGGAGGTAAGCATTCAGGCCTGATTCAATAATTCTGATTTGAATTAGAGAGTGGGTTTTACTGTAATAAACTTTGTTGGTCAGTATCTTTAGTACTTACTGTCTTCACTAAAAGGCCAATGTGAATAGAGAACAGAGTTTATGCTTTGGAGTAAAACTCACCTGTGTTCAAGTTCCTATTCTGGCATCTCGAAACTCTAGGGGCAAGATTTTTAACCTATCTTTGCCTCATTTCCTACTCTGTAAAATGAGGGTAGTAATACTTTACAGGGTTATAGTGAAAATTAGAGAAAATATACATATATCTAAAGCAACTGTTACATAATTGGGACTTAATATGTAATGTTTTATGAAACCTTCAGCACTTAACAAATTCCCAGAATAGCAGTCTCATTAATTCATACTTTACTCATTCAGGATTAATGGTAGTTGATAGAATTTGATTTGGCTTCTCTCAGGGCTTTGTAATTATAAAAAGTTATTATTTTAGTATATTTATCTGTTACAAAATATTATATATCTTAAAAAAAGATAAATCTATAACAAGATAATGTAAATAAAACAATAGGAAGCTATAACTATTTTGTATCTTTTTAAATGTGTTTAATTTTTAAAGTTGCCGTAATCATGCACAAATAATTTTTATCTTGGACTTTTCACTTAATGTAGCATACCCGTATTTTCTTGTTACCATATTCTATTCAGAATTATTACTTGTAATGGTGGTACTTGAAATCATTCCCCATGATTGTATATTGTATATTGTTTGCTTTCAGTTCTTCTCTATTATACATGAAATCATGAGAAACATTTTTTTGTGAACATAGCTTTTTCTTGTGATTTGAAAATAAAATTACCCAAAGTGGGCTTGATAGACCTAAGTTTAAGAAGGATTTTATAACTCTTGCCAACTACTTCCTGCCAATACAGATATGAGATAGCAATTTCAGTGCATCCACAAAATCTTTGGATATTAGGAGTTTTATCTTTGTACTATTTAGTATGCAAAGTCAAAGACATTTTTTGGTTTATATAATACATATGAATACATATAATACATACTTAAATATCATATTCTTTTAATGATGAGGTTAAACATTAAGTTAGTTTTAGTCCTCTGTAAGTAATGACCATCATACCCTTTTTCCACTTAACCTTTTTGAGGTTTTACTTTTTATTTTGTTCAGTTTCTTTATAGGCTAAGGATATAAACCTTTTATGATATTTGCTTTGAGTTCATATCCCTATTTTCCTTCTTAAATGTTGGTTAAAATTTTAATTTCTTTTAAAAACATTGCACAAATTAATAAGCTTTTTTCTCCAGAAGTTTTGTCTATTTTTTCTATTTTTTATTTTCATGTGATTAAAAAAAGTAATTTTCAATTAGTGACTATTCCATCTTAATGACTATCAATAATTGAAGAAAATATCTGTACTGGATTCTAATTATATAATCAGTTCCTAGAAATATCTATGGTTCACATACTGAAGGCATTAAACACCCAGTATAAAGCAAACAGGTGTTTGTCTTTTTGAGAAAATGCTTCTATTCTTATTTCTTTATTTCACCAATTGTGATGTTCTTAGACATTTTATGTTGGTTCAGTGTTGCCTGCCCATTAATCGTTATCATATTTCTGTCCGGTCTTTTACTAGGCCTTACATTCTCCTAATCTACTGCCATTTTAGTTGCAAGCATGAAAAGCACAAATTAGTCCTCCAAAACCACCTCTGTCCCACATCATAGAGACTTAGGGCAGGGAAAATGCCAGCCAACCTCATCACAAATTCTGTGCTACCCTTTGAAAAGAGTTAGGAGGACATGCATAAGAATCTGGAATAATTTAAACTCTTGTTGTTTTTTGTGAAAGGATACTTTAACTAGGGGTAAGGAAGAAACAACTGTTTCAGTTGGGCAGCACCTGTAACAAGTCTGTCTCTCTAATAAGGTCGCCCAGCGGGAATCCTGAAAAGTACCTTTTTTTGACATGGTACTTTGTCTTTCTGAACCTTGTCCACCTTGGGAAACATCTAGCAGAGGTTTTTTATTACATGATATAGCATGCAAACAATCAGTTAAAAAAAAGAGATATTTATTCTGTCCCTCGAGAAAAGACAAGTGAATAGCCACTTTTCCTCACCATACTCAGTATTCTCCAATGATAGAATGAGAGTGTGACATATAACACAAAAGAATGCACTAAGCTGTAAAGCTGAACTATAAGCTACCCAACAGAGGTAAATTCATAACCCAAAGAAAGCTATAGCAGATTATTATACATCAGCAGATTGATAATAAACATCCTGCACAGACTTGTGACTTCCCTGGAGCACTCCAACAACAAGCCCCTATGTGGTTTCCCACAATAAGAGAGTTTCATTATACAGGGGAGATGATAAAAAGTGAACTTTAAGGTCTCAAGCCCAAATTGTGTACTTGGAACTTCTTTGAAGGAGCTCATATTGGGATGGTGATCATGTGAAAAGGATTGCTATAGTTTTACGATGTAAATGTTAATGTGATTAATTATTATAATTTAAAGATATTGCCAAACTCTTGAGATAACACTGAACAGTGAAAATTGAATATTCATTACTTTAAAAATATAATTTTTAAATTGATTTTTAACTGGATACAGATTATTTTTTAATTGACATCAAAATTTTTAGCTTTTCATTACAGAAAATTTTAAATAAATACAAAAGTAACCCATCACCATCTTTAAAAATTATCAACTCGAGCAATTTTGTTTCGCCTATACTCCCACCCGCTTCCCTACTTCTACATTGCTGCCGCTAAGTTGCTTCAGTCGTGTCCGACTCTGTGCGACCCCATAGACGGCAGCCCACCAGGCTCCGCCATCCCTGGGATTCTCCAGGCAAGAACACTGGAGTGGGTTGCCATTTCCTTCTCCAATGCATGAGAGTGAAAAGTGAAAGTGAAGTCTCTCAGTTGTGTCCGACTCTTCAGGACCCCATGGACTGCAGCCTACCAGGCTCCTCCGTCCATGGGATTTTCCAGGCAAGAGAAGCAAATCCCAGACAGTATTTTTTCTTAATGGGTCAGTACCTTTCTCTAAATGATACAGCTCTTAAAAAATAAAAACATGACTCAATACAGTATTTATTAATGTACGTAAAAGTTCAGCAATCATTCCTTAATGCTCTAAAGTATTCAGTGTGCAAATATCCAATTATTTCTTAAATATCATAATTTAAAACACACCTAAATAGGTACTATTAGTATTTGTAATATACCCGTGAGTTAAACACCGTAAAAAACAGCAATGCAAATGTTCTTAGATTTGTCACACCTGCGCTTTCTTCTCAGTGTCTTGATATGCTGGAGAGCTTAGGCATTCCCTGGGTCCAGGCTGCTGGCGAAGCTGAAGCCATGTGTGCCTACCTCAGCGCCAGTGGTTATGTGGACGGCTGCCTCACCAATGATGGAGACGCTTTCCTTTATGGGGCCCAGACTGTTTATAGGAATTTCACTATGAACACCAAGGTATTTTTTCTTTCTCGTTTTCAGCATTTGTTTTAAAAACTATTTTTTTTAAAAGAGGATTATTAGAGGATTAGATAAACTAAAACATGTAAAATGCTTACCGTAATGCTTGTGCTTTTTTGTGTGTGTGCACGTGGTTGCGAAGTCTTGTCTGACTCTTTGCAACCCTACGGACTATAGCCCGCCAGGCTCCTCTGTCCATGGGATTCTCCTTGCAAGAACACTGGAGTGGGTTGCCAATTTCTTCTCCTGGGGATCTTCCCAGCCCAGGGATTGAACCAGCATCCCCTGCATTGCAGGGGGATTCTTTACCATAATGCTTGGTACACAGCAATTGCTAAATAAAATGTTTACTCATATTAAAACTATCACTACTGCATGGTTCATTTTCTTTTAAATGTGGCTTTGTTTCACATGGTTTAACTCTAAATCACTTTCAATTATGTATTACAAAATGTCATATATGTATTACCTTGAACCAGAATTTCGACTGTTAGTATGCCTCAAAACACCTCCAAGCATACAAAGAGAGATATACAAGGATGTTATTAGTAGTTGCAGCATTGTCAATACTTGCAAAAACTTGGCAAACAACCCAAATGCCCACTGATAGGGAATGGCTAAATACAGCCATGGTTCTCATGGAGGCAGGTACTACATGGGACATATTCATTGTAACTGTTCAAGGTTCAGCAAGGGAGACTATGGACATTTGATGTATTGAAGCCAGAAAAACTAAACCATTTGCCAGAAAATTCTGTTATCTTTCTGAAAATGCTTCCAGTATCCCCATAAAGGAAAACTATCTTGGAGTCCATCTAATATAATAGTAAGCAATCATTAAGGCCTAGGTGGCTCTAGTAGTAAAGAACTCACCTGCCAATGCAGGAGACATGAGAGATGCAGATTCAATCCCTGGGTCAGTAAGATCCCCTGGAGGAGGGCACAGCAACCCACTCCAGCATTCTTGCCTGGAGAGAATCCCATGGAGGGAGGAGCCTGGAGAGCTACAGTCCATAGGATTGCAAAGAGTCAGACACGACTGAAGCAACTAAGATACCCAAATGTATTAGTGGGCAAGAAATATTGCAAAATAGCATTTTTATATAATCCTACTTTTACTTTAAATAAGCATTTGTATTTATGTGTTAAAGAAAGAGTTTCTTAAAGGAATAGGCATGGCTATCAGTAATAGTTACTTCAGATGATTCATTTACAGGGAATGTTTACTTTCTATAATATACATTTTATGTTTAATTATGTAAGATGAAAATCTACTTTTGTAGACACCAAAAAACAAGAAGAAAAAAATGACTACTATAGTTATTTTTTTAAAGCTATTTTTGAAACTTGATTTTATTTCCAAATGTTAAAATGTTAGCTTATATGAAGATTCTGGTGATCAAGATAATTTTAAACTTTTAGGAATAAATATTTAGAGGCAGCTTTGACAAATTATGTTTTACAATGATTATTTTATTTAGTTTTCTGAAGATGAAACTAAATCTGTACTTTCTTCTAGGACCCACATGCTGACTGTTATACAATGTCATCCATCAAGAGTAAACTAGGTTTGAATAGAGATGCTCTGGTTGGGCTGGCAATACTACTTGGCTGTGATTATCTTCCAAAGGTATCCTGAAATTGTATTTATTTACTATTCATAGTGGCTTTTTCTGATACCTTACATGCTACATAAATATGAATATAATATGGTATTATATAGTGAAGGACCTAACTTAGATATGGATGTAATAAACTATGCAGTAACTAAAATAATCAACATTTCAGGTGGCATTAAAATGCTTGCGCACTGTGACACTGAATGTTATAAATGAGAATAGAATCATAACTGGTACTACAGCTTGAATCTCAGTATACCATTACTCTAAGAGATCCATATTCACATTTGACTCTCCTTTTAGAGAAATATAGAAGCTACTCTTTTCTCGTCTCATGCCAGTGTTAGTTTCTATCACTGTTTGTCTGTGTTCTGGTTTTGAATCTCTATAGTAACTTTCTAACTGTACACATGCTCCATGTTATTGTTACTGTTGCTAGGTAACATGATTATTGGGCTAAGTCATTCATCCCTCTATGCCTATTAGCATTGCATTGAGTTTTGCTCATGAAAGCCTTTTTATTTTATATCTTAAGATAACAATACATACTCAGTGACAGACGGGTGTAATAGGTGAGGGATGAATTAAGAATTACAATGATAACCCCATTCATAAAGGTGATATTTAAAAATACAAAATGATTTATATTGTAGCTCCTACTGTTTTTATATAGTCCCATTATTATGTCCCTGCTGATCATCTTTGTATCCTTATTAAATCCTTCATTATACTGTAGACTGTATCCGTAAGAGAAGTCTAAAGAGGGATGACATGTATTTTTTTTCACTAGAGTATAGGAGAGGGAAAAAGTAATAGGATAGGAAATTATTAATTCTGATTTCTAATCTATGTCACCAGTGACCAAATAGAGAAATCAACAATTTTTTTAACAAGAAAAGAAAACAGGAGGACAAAAAGCTGTTAAATAACACAAAAATTAATTATTGTAGTTCTCATTCTGAAATAGAAGATTCCTATTTCCTATATGTAATTGTATCATAATTAAAGTCTGGAAACAGCCCAGTGTTGAACATAAGAAAAAATTTGCAAACTTGAACTCACAAAAACCAGTTTCGGCTATAGTGGTATTTATTACGTTATAGACTTGCCTATTTTGATTTTTTTATAACTTTGCAACCAAAACTGCTATCTATTTATATCATTGTACTTAATGATCTTTAAGACACTACTATAATAATATAATCTGCTGAAAAAATTTTTGGAAAAAAATTTAATATGTAACTAAATGCTGATACAAGACGGGTCATATGCAAAATATCTAGTAACTGGTTTACTAAAGACATAGGCTGTAGAAATGGAACAAGTTTCTGGCACCCTCTGTTGTGCCATGTGTTACCCTAATCCTGAGTGTAGGTGGGTTGGGAAGGGAACTCAGATTAGGGAGGGGACCCCTTTGCCAGAAGGCACTCAGAATATGTGGGCAGTGAATGTTTACTAACCAGTTTGGAAGTATTTTAACACTGGTATGTCTATCCTGATGCATATTGGCTAAAGAGCAGCATTGCTTACAAAGGCATATTAATAAACTTTTACAGGAACTAGAAGACTCAATCTAAACCAGGAATTGTCATGTGAATATGCATTTATTTATTTATATATATCTAGATGTGTATATATATATATGTAGTGTTGGAAATTAAATGCTTGTTTTAATTTTCTTAAGTTACTAATTTCAGGAATTAACTTGGAATTCTCCTTTGCTCTATTGGGTGTCTGGATCTTTCAATATTAAATGTTTCATATAGTCAAAGAACATGCCTTTTCCTGATTATAAATATTGCATAGTTAGGTTAAATTAAAATATTATCAAAATAATGAACATAGAAAATGAAATGCTGTTCATCTAAAATGCTGTTCCTCCCTCTCCTAAAATAAACTGTAAGAGCTTTTGTATGTAACTCTGACTTTTTTGGTTACATAAGTTACCACTGTAATTGCTATTTAACCTACAAATCTAAGCCACACCTTATTTTCTTCTGCAGTTTTCATTTACACCTAACAATGCATCTTGCACAGGTAAAATTACCTCCTTCTCTAAGCTGCACAGTCCTACATCGAATGAATGCATCATCATTCATTTTATCTGTTCTTAATGGTTAACATTTGAATTTCTTTTCCTACTTTCTGAAAGGGAGTCCCTGGAGTTGGAAAAGAGCAAGCATTAAAACTGATAAAGATTTTGAAAGGGCAAAGTTTACTTCAGAGGTAACTAAAAATTATTTTTGCTTATGACATTAGTCTTCTAGTCTTGTTGAATTTAATGTATACAATAAGTATTGGACTTTCCAAAAAAGGGTTTTGTCTTTTTAAGTTGATCTATGTTTTCATTGACAATCACTTATTTATTCTGACGTTTTCCAAAGAAAATTGAAAAGAACATGTCCTAAGCCATGGTTTGCATCATCAATATTATTAGCTCACTACAAACACAAGTAGTAAGATATCAAATGGGTTTATTTATAACCATGGACATTTGCCATAAGCTATCTTAGACTATTTTATCAACAAGTAGAGATAGACCAAAATAATTAATTTTATATTTAAAATTATTTTTATATAAGTACTTCAATACTATATTTTTCTATAAATGAAATGCCTGACATATTGCAAATATTTAATTAGTAACACTTGAACAAAAGTTTTACTTCACTACCCTTTGTTCTATATTCGCAAATTCCAATGAATTTAGACTATATGATTTGAGGATTCAGGCTTCTCTGATAGCTCAGAAGGTAAAGAATCTACCTGTGATGCAGTAGAGCAAGATCCAATCCCTGGGTCTGGAAGATTCTCCTGGAGAAGGAAATGGCAACCCACTGCAGTATTCTTGCCTGGAGAATCCTAGGGACAGAGGAGCCTGGCAGGCTATAGTCAGTGGGGTTGCACAGAGTCAGATATGACTGAGCGACTAACACTTTCACTTCATTTGAGGATTCAGGAAAATTAAGATTAGAGTATATTGAAGTTTGCAAACTGTGCTGTTTTGTTTTGAGCTTTCAAAATGAGTCTATCAGTCATTTGTTTGATGATGGCAGTTTTTATAAAAAATGAATATTGGTGATAATAAAGTATAGAATGAATAGAAGGAAAGGAACCAGGACACTGGGACAGTTAAAATAATCTTGGCCTCCAGTAGGTATGAGATAGTGAGTAAATGAAAAGAAGCATCAAGTGGTAGAAATGAAGATTGGGATGACCATGAGAAAGATTTCAGATATTCATGCTCTTTCCTAAGATGCCTCTCTTTCCACTGTAAAGCTAATGATAGATCTAAGACTTTAATAAACTCATTGTTAATATCAGTGATTACCATTTTCCAAAGCAGGAAAGCAAAGGTGTACTTTGGCATGGGGATGAGTTAAGGAGTGATTTGGGAATTGTGAAGAGTGAAATAAAAAAGGAAAAGCAAGCAAATATGGCTCTTGACTAACTGTAAATCTTTTTTATTGAGACAGTTTCAGCAAAGGCGAACTTTTGGCAGTATTTTATGTTTGTCTTCACAGTTGAAAATAATGAGATTATATTTTCTTATAATAATCTGTCATTCTAATTTTTATTAATTTAGAATAACCTTCCCCTGAGTTTTAAATCTTTTTATGTTTTTATGTTCCCAGGCTGGGATAGCAACTTTACTGCCAAAGGGAAAATAAGTAGGCAAGTGGAAAGGAGCAGAATAGCCTGACCTTTGAGAACATGGCAGTTTGGTGACCTTAGTATTTGTTTGTTGTTTGTTTTTTCTTAAACCATTTTCTTTTAAAAGGTTTAATCAGTGGAATGAACAGTCTTGTTACTCTAATTCACAACCAGCACTCGTTAACAAACTGGCTCATTGCTCTGTGTGCTCCCATCCAGGTGAGCAGACATAAGGAATGATATCTCTATAACACTGCTGTCTAGCTTCCTATGTTTAGTATATACCTATGTTTCATATATATTCCTTTGGTACTTTTTACTTACCTACCTTGCTTAGCACATTGGGAACCTGCAGGGTCAGGAGTTGTGTCACATACACACAGTAGACACTCAGTAAATACTTACTGAATGAAGTAATGTCATATCAATGATAGATATAGGATAACTAGTTTCAAACTGCATTATCAAATTATTTCAGTGTTAAAATTATGTTTTCAATGTAGAAATCCATTTTAAGAAAAAATTGTACTGATAAATCTTAGGGAAAATGGAAGTGAAACCCCTTGTTTTTATGTCAGTGATTTGTTTATATTTATATGGTATATTTTTATTGTGTGTGAAGATAGTGACTTAACATTAATTTCTAATACATGTTCACTGTTACTGAAAATAGCTTGGATTCTCTTCATTAGTCTTGATTAAAAAATGACGTCCATGGAAAGTCCCTGGCAGTCCAGTTGCTAGTACTCCATGCTTTCGGTGCCAAAGGCACAGGTTCAATCCCTGATCAGGGAACTAATAAATAGATAAAGAACCCATCTCTCTCTTTGTAATATAAGAATTGTCTTTTTTTTTTTTTTTTTTAATAAAAAAAAGATGTTTCTGACTTGTACTGTGTCAAAAAATCCTTTTGCTCTCAGGAGAGATTAGGAGATCATGTTAGCTCATCTTTTAAAAGAAATTCTGCTCTATCTGTTTTTCTTAATATATTTTCATTGGCATTTAAGAATTATAGATGATAGCGTGGAAGAAATAAATGTTTTTATAGATAAGATGCAATTCTGCAGGGGTTTTTTTGATGCCTCATGAATTATGGTTTTAGGTCATATCACTTATGTAAGCTCTCATGTATTCTCAAGACAGTGTTGAAGGTAGTCATGCTTTCCTTTCAATGGTCACTAGGGCCCAACATCCAGGCCACAACCAGAATTTGTTTATGTTCCAAGCTTAGTTTAAAAATAGCTATATAGGTAACTGAGAGCTAGCCACTAGCAGAGGTAATAACTGCTGTATTCCTTTCATATTCTTATTTTTTAAAATTTTAAGGATTATTCTATTGCCTAAATAATTTTTTACCAACAATATCCTTCTTGTGTGTAACTACCACTTACTCCACAGTCTTCCATCAATTACTCTAAATGTACAGTCATGTTACAAATTAACACTTTCAGATAGAAGAGTGATTTACAAAAAGTTAAAATAGTGTCAGTGATGGTAACAGCTAAGGAATTAGTTTATCCTAAGAATTACTATTGTGTTTATTACTCTATTCAACCTAAATGTATTGAAACCCTTTTATAGGCTAGGTGTTATGCTAGACGGTATTTGTTTTTAAAAATTTGGGTAAGGCAAAGAAAAAAATGTATATAGAAGATAATTCTAAAAGCAGTGAAAATTATACTTTTTGTGTCTCCGTAAAGGTTCATCTAAGGATCATGAACATAATGGATGCAAATTATGTCAAACTGATCGATACTGTGAACCACATGATTATGAATACTGTTGTCCTTGTGAATGGCACCGTACAGAACATGAGAGGCAACTGAATGCAGTAGAATACAATATCAAGAAGTAAGGTTTTATTTTTGTACTCTGTTTTCTGCCATGGGACCTGTTTATATACCTTTGGTTGAATTCATAACTTCCCCTCATGTGTAGATTAATAGTGTTTCACAAAATCCCTTTCTTGATTCTGTTAAAAAATTTGGCCATCTTGGAAGATAGTAGTTTAATAATATTTCAGTGAGAAGGTTGATAACTGGTATACTCTGCAAGGACACGTTTCAATAAATGAGATGAGATTAGAGGTGATGATTTTAGAATCTACCTAAAATTGCCTGATTATATTAATAACTTGTATATAACTTATTTTCAGAAAAGCTTGCAGTTGTGAGGGATTCCCATTCCATGAGGTAATGAGTAATAATTCAACTATGTATTTATCTCAGAAGCTTTTTATAAAAGTTTGAAGTCTCCATTCTTACTTTCTTGTCTCTTGCTAGGTTACTCAAGAATTCCTTCTGAACAAGGATAAATTGGTGAAGGCAGTCAAGTACCAAAGACCTGATTTATTGTTGTTTCAGGTATCTGAAAATAAACTCTTACTTTACAGTGTAAAGTTGGATACTAGAAAGATAAGAAGAGGTAATCACTTTGATTGCTCTGAAAGGAGGTTTGAAGTAGATAGCTATTGAGTACATGTGTGTTTTGCAAACATTTATGTCTACTTTTCGTTCCTTTATCACATAGTAGCTACATATTGCAGACTGTAAGGCAAATCACAGTTAGCTGTGCCTTACAAGACTCCTGAACGACCGTGTGCAGATGTGTTGTCTTCAGGGCTGTGTTGAGGGAGAGCTGCTAATAACTGGGGAATGTGAAGATCAAGCATATTGTTATTGAAGACAGTACAGTTTACGAGCGCATTGATCTAAATTTAAATTTGGACAGTCTGTCACTTACCGTGTAACCCTGGATATGTGTTTTCCTCAAAAAAAGAAATAAGATTACCTATCTTGTGAAGTCACTTTGAGGATTAAGTGAGACTATTTGTGTTAACCCCTAGTATAGTAAGTAGAGAAACAGTCACTCAATAAATTGTAACTGCTTATTGCTTAGCTCAACAACCACAGTAATAATAATGGCAACCAACATTTATTGAACACTTAAAATTTGATATTATATTTAACACATTGCGTGTAATCTTCCCTAACTTCATAATCAGTGTGCTCAATTGTATTTTAATTTAGCCTCAGAGATAAAACCTGAGGCTAAAAGAGGTTAAGTAATTTACCCGACATCTAGGAAATATGCTGGCATTCAGACCCAGAACCCTCACACTGAAATCATTATGCAATATTGCCTCCTTAGGAGGCTCACTGCCCATTATGGGCATCTTCTTGTTGACACAACTTTAATATTAGTTATCTCTTACAGAAAAGATAAGATCACCTGAGAGTGCTATTTGTTCACCAAGAGATAATGAAGTCTTATTATATTTTTTATTACATTTACAGAGATTTACTCTTGAAAAAATGGAGTGGCCCAATCACTATGCATGTGAGAAATTGTTGACACTGTTGACCCACTATGACATGACAGAAAGGAAGCTCGGTCGAAGGAACTCTAATCAGCTGCAGCCAATTCGGTAATTTAAAGAATTGTGTGGACAAGTCCCTGTGTTTTTTTGGAACATCTTATGATCTAAAATATTCTTCTTAATATCTTTAATAATAGGGTATATCAATATATCTCTTTGTTTTAGAAGAATGGAAGAAAGGTCTGATGGAATATTAAAAGTTTGTTCGGGGGTTAGTGTCAGGATAACATAGTTCATGCTTTGACACTTCTTAGCCTCAAACATATAGTAATAATAGACTATTAAAAGAAAGAAATATAAAAAGTTGTGCTGTGCAAAGTTGCTTCAGTTGTGTCTGACTCTGTGCGAGTCTGGGCTAAGGACTTCAGCCCGCCAGGCTCTTCTGTCCGTGGGATTCTCCAGGCAAGAATACTGAAGTAGGTTACTGTGCCCTGCTCCAAGTGATCTTCCCGACCCAGGGATCGAACAAGTGTCTCTTATGTCTAACTTGCATTGGCAGGTGGGTCTTTTACCACTAGCGCCACCTGGGAGGCCCCTATAAAAGTTGTAGCTAGGCTTAACTAGATAATTATCTCAGTGGACCAGAAAGGGAACAGTAAGTGGTAAAGTAAGTGGAGGGGCTGAAACTGAGAATTGGTGACTCTCAGTGATGGGTATATGATTATTCATTTTACTATTCTTGAAATTTTTCTTAAAGTTTGAAAATTTTCAAAATAAAAAGTTTGGGGAAAATATTAAAGAAAAAAGATAAGTTCCAAAGGAGTCACAATCCATTAGCATACATCTTTGATGACAATAGTAGTCGTCATAATGATGGAGTAATATTTCAAAGCTTTGACTAAAAATAATCGGCAACCTAGACATCATTAAAATTATTCACTGGTTGGCAAGACACTTGCAGATATATGAAGATTAAAAGTTTGCCACTCACAGACCCTCATTAAAAGCACTATTAAAAGTTGACTTCAGCAAGAAGGAAAATGAACTCGGGGGGAAGATGAGGATAATAACAAACAGCGGTCAGCCATAGAAATTGATAAAATATATTTAGCTAATTTAATAAATTGGAAAAAATGTGTATATACATATCTTCATAATGCTTGATAGTTAATATATGTTTATGATAATAAACTGACATCACAAAGTATGCATGTAAACAGTTAAGGATAACCATTAAAACATGAGAAATACAACTTCTGTCTTTAAAACCAGTACATGAAATAGGAATGTAAAACTCCAACCAAAAGATATAGGAAGGTGGAAAGGTAAAATAACAAAGGTGATCTTTGAGATGAGGTAACCAGAACCACAAATAAGATGTATGAATGAATCCAACTATGTCAATAATCATAATGAATGTAACGATTAAAATTGTCTATTAGATGAGTAAACAAAATATAGCAATATTCTGCTTCATAGGGCACTTGCAGAATAAAACTATATTAAGTTTGAAAATAAAAGAGATTAAAAGATTTACCAAGGCAAAAATTTACCAAAGTGATGTAGCAAAGTTAGTAGAAGCAAAATAAACTTTAAAACAAAAATTGTTACTATGTAAAAGAGGAACACTGAATAATAATGAGAGGAAAATCTGATAAGATCTAACAATTACAAACACTATCTTTTATTTTTTTTTTCATTTATTTTTATTAGTCAGAGGCTAATTACTTTACAGTATTGTAGTGGTTTTTGCCATACATTGACATGAATCAGTCATGGATTTACATGTAAACACTATCTTTTAAATAAGCAAATCAGAAATAACTACACAGTAGTTCCTTACAGAATCTTTAGAATATTATTAAAACAATAAAAATTAGTGGGCATTGAGTTATTCAGTCAACAAATTGAAGATTTCCAAATAACTCATGCAATCAGACCCCATTAGATGTGGCTTTTTTTTTTTTTCAGAATCGTTAAAAACCGAATCAGAAATGGAGTTCATTGTTTTGAAATAGAATGGGAAAAGCCTGGTATGTACATACTTTAAGGAAAATTTATAACATTTAGTCACGTATGTTTAGCAGATATTATGTGTAAAACGTGTATATAAAAAGAAATGGATCACATACACCAGTGTACTTGTGCTATATGTAACTCAGAGTAAATTTTAAATGTCTTAAATTGATATTCCTTTTGTAGTTAATATTTACAAAAGCAATATGGAAATGGTTTTATATACATTTCTCAAGAAAATACTACTACAAATAGTCTGGTCATTGGATTTCACTGTATAGTCAGTTCTCAAGAAATGAAGGTTGCTGATAGCACCTGTGGTGCTTCTGTTCCTTTCTTCCTTTCCTTTCCTTCCTTTTCTTTCTTTACTATATTTAGTTTTCATGGGAATTTATAGTGTCAATTACTCTTATTTTCTTTAGACAGAAATACAGTGAACTCTGAATTAGCTCCAAAACTGAAGGCAGGGGAAGTACTGAGCACTTAAAATGGAAAATAATCCCAAATTCATTTCTGTTTGGCTTTAAAATTAGATTTATAATTACATGTGACTGAGTGAGAGAATAGATTTCTCAATAAAAGTTCTAATTGATAAACGATAAAGAATTACATAAGCTGTTTAAGGGAATAATAGGAAAGTAGCTAATGAATTTTGAAAACCATGTAGAAACAATTTCACCTACTAGAGTGTATTTTCAGGAAAGACAATGGCATTAACCCAGTTTGGCCATGCATCTCTTCTGTCTGGAACTCAGGGTTAGGTGCCCACTTTCACTTATCCTTGTTGGAGTTATCCCTTAAGGAGAAAATGAACCCCAGGTTGCTTGAAGAAATACTCTTAAGTTCACTTGTTTCCATTGTTTCTACTTCAGGCACATTAACTTACATTTCATGATAGTTTGGCTTCTTATGTAGTTTTGCCCTCATATAGGATAAACATAAGAATCCAGTGTACTATTTATGTATCTCATTGTGAATGTACACATTAGCATTCTCATTTTTGTTTATTGAGTTCTTGTGAGTCAAATAAGCCTGGTTATTTCCTCAAGAGACTGATAATCTTTGAAACGCGATCTGGAAAATGGTAATATTTTTGATGACCTATCAATTCTGTCCTTTTCAGAAGCTACTACTAAAGAAAGCCAATGTTACAGTTTTAGGAAATTGCCTGTTTCCATTCTTTATCTGGAATTTTACCCTTATTATACTGAATTAAAACTGACTAACCTTATATAAATAAAGTTTTCTCTAAGCTGTTCCTACCATCTCTGAAACAAGAGAAATTTAAAGTTCTAATTTAAGTGGAACTTCTTTCCAGCTCTTGCCAGGTGGAAAAAGCTCACTTCTGTATCAACAGATTATTAGAATAGAGATGTTATAAAGTAAGATTTGCATGAGTTACCCATTTGTGAATGACCTAGTTGACCTGGTAAACTGAGTTACCTGGGAAAATGGAGTATTTCAGATCTGTTAGTAAGGTTGTTTTATTGTATTTTTAATCCTTTAGAACATTATGCTGTAGAAAATAAACATGGAGAATTGGCTCTACTAACAATAGAAGAAGAGTCATTGTTTGAAGCAGCTTATCCTGAGATTGTTGCTATTTACCAAAAACAAAAGTCAGAAAATAAAGGGAAGAAACAAAAGAGTATGTATCACATTTGATAACTATTTATGCTTTGAACATGAATGAATTGTCCTATTTGAACCTACCTTGTCCAAATTTTGCTGAAAGTTCTGTAAAATCAAGAGTAAGGATTATACTCTTGCTCCTTTGTCTTGACATACTTTGTCTTGACATACTTAAAATCTAAAAACCAGGAAAAAATCATTCTGCTCTGAGTCTGCTAACTTAACTGAGTATTATTAATAGTAATTACACTAACCGTTTATTGAGCAACTAGCATGTATAACATATTTAGGATTATAAATACATTTTCTTTATTTCCCAGAACTCAGTGGAGAAATTTTAACACTATTTTATAACATGACAATAATAACAGTATTTCTGAAAGAAAATATTTTATAATATTTTATTAATAATTATTTTGTTATAATTAGGTATAAAACAGTTTTCAGGAATGCACTGAGAAGAGGCAAAAATTGATCATACAGATTTCTGATCTGAACTCTTTTTATTTACCCACGTTAAAGAAAATAAAATAGATTTAAAATAGATTTTAATTGTATTATATATTTGTTTCTTTTCAGGCATGAAAATTAAGTCTAAAGGAAACATTTTGCCAGAATCAGATGAGATGATGAATGTTCAATCACACATGACTGTAAAACCCACATGGGAAATCTTTCCTAAGCAGATATCCAAGTTAAGCTTGGAAATTTCCCCTGATTCTACATCACCCGAGGAATTTATTTCCACATCATTGAATGTCTTGCTTTTACCTGAAGATGCTGCCTGTTTGAGTACACAAGAACAGTTAATATCTTCTCCAAGACCTTTGGCTATACAGCAAATTAAAGATATCAGTAAGTCTCTAACTGCAGAATCTAGTCAACCTAGTACCTCATCCCATAATATATCCGCAGTTGCTGATCTGCACTTGAGCACCATCGACTGGGAAGGTACTTCTTTTAGTAATTCTCCGGCCATCCCCAGGAACGCATTCACTCATGGTTTAAAATCGGAACTTGAAACAGCTATTCCTGACAATTTTAAAAATAATCCAAAGCAGTTGTGTTGTGAATCAGAACGGCTTACCACCAGTGTTAATAAACTCTCCTGTTGGGGTCTTCAGAAGACTAATCCTGAGGAGGACCTTCTTTCTGGCATTAGTGATTTACGTCTTCAGGATTTACCCTTAAAGGAACGAATACTTATAAAATCATATCCTCAGAATACTTTAGAACCACATGTTGACTTAAAAACTTTGTCCCTACTTACTGTAAAAGAACAGTGTGTTGCTAATAATACTTCTCATTGTCCATCACATCTTTCCAAGGATCTTCTAGGAATTCATTGGCAAAATGAATCTAGAAACTGTAAAATTCCAAAAGGAGGCCAGCTGTTTCAAGAAAATGATAAATCAAATACATCTGTACCCTTGTCTGTCAATAACCCAGGAACGAAGACCTCCAATGTTAGAACTGGGCCACCAAATGCTGCTTTATATCATAGTAGAAAAGCTGGCTTTCAAATTGCTCAGAAAACTGTAATGAAGAAGAGCGTTTGCCTTGACAGACCTTCCTCTGATGAAGAAAGTGTCCCAGAGTTTGGGAAAGCTAAATCCACAAGTCAAAAAATGAAGCAGAGTTCTCAGAAGCATAGTCCAACCCATTTCAAGAAAAATGATGCCAACAAGTTGAGTAACCCTAAGGCATATATTAAAAAAACTCAGCAGTGTGTCCAGGCTTATAAAACAGCTGGAAATGAAGAAGCCTGTTTCCCAGATGCAACAGAAGAGCCTCTGAGTTTTCTCCGACACCATAAGGATAAAGATGACTCTGGTACCTTGTTGGATAGTCCTCTTCCTTTAAGTCAGAGATTAAAGCTAAGGTTGCAAAACACTTGAAATTTCAAGTATTCAGCTGTGACTTAGTATTCTGGTACTGTTGGCATTAGCAGAAACAGAAGGAAGGTATCTGATTAGTGTGTAGTAGAAAAATTTAATGTGGTTCTATATATTATGAGACCCTTGCCATTTTCATCAAAACTATAATTAAAATGTTCCCTTAAACTTCTGTTTTAAAGCACTATCCTCTGTAGTGAAAATTCCAGATAATGTATATTTTTATAACATACTTTGTCCATTTAAAAAAATATCTTTACTGATTATGCTTTAGTTATATCCTTAAAGTGTTAGCATAGCACTAGACACAGAGTAAGTGCCGCACCCATTTGTTCATTTTTACTCATTTCTTCCACAAGCCTCTAAAGCATTTTTGGATATTACAACTTGTTTCCCACAGGGTAACTCTTTATCATTGCCTGCATTCTCATGTCTTCCATTGTGCCTTTCTGGGAGTTATATTTACTCTCAATGTGAAGATAGTTTCAACTGCTCTTCAGTTTCGGTAATCTCATTCTCTTTTGTGAAATAAAATTCACAAAATTTCATATATAGTAAAACTCATGGTTGTAGTAGTTGAATAAATTTGGAAAGCTACTTCTTACATATCCCCAGAGGTTCACAGGTATGCCAAGTGGACAGAGATTTGAAAAATAGAATGTATAACCAGAAGAGTATTAGAAACTTGCTCAGGATCATGCAACTAATTAATAGTGGTATGGGAACCAGATTTCTTTTTTATAGCACTTTTTTCTCTCCCTTTTTGTAAAAAAATGAATCTGTGGCTTCCTGGATGGCTCAGGGGTGAAGAATCCGCCTGTAATGCAGGAAACACAGATTTGATTCCTGGGTCAGGAAGATCCCCCTGGAGAAGGAAATGGGATCAAACCCAGGTCCCCCGTGTTGCAGGTGGATTCTTTACCAGCTGAGCCACAAAGGAAGCCTAAGAATACCAGAGTAGGTAGCCTATCCCTTCTCCAGAGCCTGGCGGGCTCCTCTGGGAGCATGGGGTGGCAAGAGTCAGGCATGGATTAGCAACTAAACAACAACATATAATGCTCACATCAATACCTCCAAATATTAAGTTATTCATTACTTTACCTACCACTCAAAAATTCTAAAGGGAACCAGATTGGAAAGGAAAAAGTAAAACTATTGCTACTTGCAATGGTAAGACCTCATGTTTATGAAATTCTGAGGAATTCACTGAAAACTATTAGAACTGATCAATGAGTTCAACAGGTTTAGGATACAAGGTCAAGATACAAACATCAGTTGTATTTCTATACAACTGCAATAAATAATACTAAATGAAATTAAGTTCTTTTTACAACAACAAAAAAATACTTTGGAATAAATTTAACAAAAGAAACAATATATACTCGGAAACTATAAAATATCACTGAAAGAAATTCAAGATAATCTAAATAAATGAAAAGACATCCATGTTTATGGATCAGGAGACCTGATATTGAGATGAGAATACTTCCCAAACAAATTTGCAGATTCAGTGCAATCCCCACCAGTTCCAGCTGATTTCTTTGCAGAAACTGATAAGCTAATTCTGAAATATATATGGAAATTTAAAAGACACAGAATAGGCAAAATAATCTTTACAGAAAAGAAGTGACAAGGTAATACTTGCCCTTCTGATTCTTATTTCAAAACTTACTACAAAACTACAGTAATGAATGTGTTGAGTGCCATAAAGGTAGACATATAGATCAGTAGGATAGAATGGAAGGTCCAAAAATATGTCCTTAGGCTTCTCAGGTGGCTCAATGGTAAAGAATCTGCCAGCAAGGAGACATAGGAGAAAATGGGTTTCATCCCTGGGTTGGGAAGATCTCTGTAGGAAAAAATGACAACCCACTCCAGTATTCTTGCCTGGAGAATCCCATGAACAGAGGAACCTGGCAAGCTACAGTCCATTAGGTCACAAAGAGTCGGACATGACTTAGTGACTAAACAACAACAGCAGCAATAACAGAAACTCATTTGACTTTGCTTTCAGCTTCCTCTTTTAAAAATTTCCCCTATGCCTTTAAATAGTTTAGAATAATTATAATTAACACGATTTTACGTATGGAAACAATGTTTACTTTGAAGACCTGACATTAGAAAAATTGACAGTATGGTGACTACCAAGAGTGTTATTTCCTTAGTAAACTTACCACAGTTTAGAGTTTAGCCAGTTTTGAACTAGTATCACATATTTTTAGTAATCTCAGTTTTAAATGCACGTGTAATATAACTTTTAAGTTTTTCAAGGACTTATGCTTTTGGCATAAATTGGACATTAATTACTGCATAGATACGTGTACAGCTCTAAGTTCTGAAGTTAGAGTTGCACAAAACCCCAGGGGATGAGGATGAAGTTCTACTTTGGAGTAATTAATTTGGTTTTGAACTGCTTACCTGACCCCACAGACGTATACCTAAAGACTCCTTTTTCACCAACTTTTTTTTATTGTAATATAATTTATGTACAATAAAGTCCACTCATTTTAAATGTAAGTTTGATGAATTTTGGTAATTGTGTACATTTGTGTAACTTACACCGCAATCCAAATGTGGAAGATTTCCCTCACCCCGAAGTTTCTTTATGCTTCTTTGCAGTTAATCCTCTCTCCCAAGCCTTGATCCCAGGCAACAACTGATAATGCTTTTCTCACTATGGTTTGCTTTTCCTAGAATTTCTATAAACAGGACCATGCAATATATAGTCTTTGACTTTCTACTTAGTACTTTTTTAAGACTTATGTATGTTGTATATATTAATGTCTTGTGGTATAGAGTAGTATGACATAATTGTAGACATAATTGTATGACATAATTTAATTATAGAGTAGTATGACATAATATTCAGTTCAGTCGTTTAGTTGTGTCCAGCTCTTTTCGACCCTATGGACTGCAGCACATCAGGCTTCCCTGTCCATCAACAACTCACAGAGTTTGCCCAAACTCATGTCTATCAAGTCGGTGATGCCATCCAACCATCTTGTCCTCTGTTGTCCCCTTCTCCCGCCTTCAGTCTTTCCCAGCATCAGGGTCTTTTCAGATGAGTCGGCTCTTCACATCAGATGGCCAAAATATTGGAGTTTCAGCTTCAGCATCAGTCCTTCCAATGAATATTCAGGGTTGATTTCCTTTAGGATTGACTAGTTGGATCTCCTTGCTGTTCAAGTGACTGAAGAGTCCTCCAGCACCACATTTCAGAAGCATCAATTCTTTAGCACTCCATCTTTTTAATGCACTGTTTAGGTTTATCATAGCTTTTCTTCCAAGGAGCAAGTGTCTTAATTTTGTGGTTGCAGTCACCATCTGCAGTGATTTCGAAGCCCAAGAAAATAGTCTCTCACTGTTTCCATTGTTTCCCCATCTATTTGCCATGAAATGTTGGGACCGGATGCCATATCATTTTTTGAATGACATAATATTAATACACAATAATTTTTTATTATTTCATCAGTTGATGGAAAATAGAGTTGTTTTCACATTTTGGCTATTATGGATAGTGTGGCCATGAATATTCAGAAAGAGGTCTTTAGGTGGACATACATTTTCACTTCAGATAAATAAGAATGAGATTGCTGGTTCATATGATCAGCATATGTTTAATTTTTTTAAGATACTACCACAGTCTTCCAAAAAACCATTATGTTCCCAACAGCTATACACTGAGGTTTTAATTGTGCTACATTGTCACAAAAACTTAATGTCAGTCATTTTCATTCTAATCATTCTAACTGGTGCATGGTGGATCTCATTGTGACATTGTCTTTTCCTGATAATTGAAGAAGTATGTGCATATTGGGGATTTGTGTCTTCTCTTGTGAAATTTCAATTCTTTTTGCCAGTATTTAAATTGGGTAGTTTGTCATCTTATTCAATTATAAGTGTTATTTTTTTCTAAATAAAAGCTCTTTGTCAGATACGTGTTTTGCAAATATTATATCCCTGAGTCTTTCATTTTAACTGTCTTTTAAAAAGCAAAATAATTAAAGTGTTCATGTCTATTAATTTTTGTTTCCACTGGCCTATTTAAAATATATTTGTCTAACCTAATGTGCCAGCTGTTTTTTCTGTTTTCTCCTACAAGTTAAATGGTGTTTACCTCTTACATTTGGGTCTGATTTGTTTCAAGTTAATTTTTGTGTATCATGTGAGATAAGAACTGAGGGACATTTTTTTCCCATACAGATATCCACTTGCACGATCACAATTTGTTGAAAAGAAATCTTTTCCCTCATTGAATTACCTTGACTCCTTTGTTGAAAAATCAATGGCCCGTGAAAAGTGTGAGTCTTTTGTTGAACTATTCTTCCCATTGATCTGTTTGCGTATCATCACTCCAACACCGCCATCTTGATTACTGTAGATTTATAGTAAGTCTTGAAATCAAGCAATTTATCCTTGTTCATTATATTTTCTTATCAAGTTTACCAATTGACTGCCATATTACTAAAGCTAATAAACAACTTACAGTCTTAAATTTACCTTTCTGCAGAATCAAGGACAGCTGAACTTTCTTTGAAACCTTCTATTATCTTGTTTTCCATGTCAACACTGCTTCTTGGTTTATCTTCCTCCTTGGCTATCATTTTAAACTCCTTATAGGCGTAAATATTCATACTTATTCAATATTAATACTTTGTGTTCCTTCAGTTTTCTTTCTTATTCACTCCAGATATTTTCTACCCTCATGACTTCAGCTGCTTATGTGTTTATGACTCAGACATGGATCATTAGCTAAAGCGTCTCTCCTAACCTATAGATCTGCTTACTTAACCAATTTCTGACATCACTGGAGATGAGTACGGGTTGAGGCTCCGAGGTGCCTGACATATCTAACCCTGGATGTAGTTCCAAGTCTTGCTGTAACTGATTCCTGGTTCCAAGTGAAGTCATTTGGGTAGTGAATAATCATTCAATCCAGAGACAACATTAACTCAGGGTCAATTAAATAAGTATTAAGTACATCAAATGCCAAGGACTGCCAGGAGAGACAAAGTGGAGTAAAACCCACTTTACTTTCAAGGAATTGGCAAGGTAGGGCAATGTGGCACATTACACCCAAGAATAAATTGTACTGGCAAGCACAAAATTGTTCAATGAATGAGATAGACTGTCAATATTATAGGAGCCTCAGAGGAAGGAAGATTCCTTCAGCAAACAGAAAGATTGGACTGGGCTTTGAAGAGTAGTTTCCCTGGTGGCTCAGAAGGTAGAGTCTGCCTGCACTACAGGAGACCTGGATTCAATCCATGAGTTGGGAAGATCACCTGGAGGAGGAAATGGCAACCCACTCTAGTATTCTTGCCTGGAAAATCCTGTGGATGGAGGAGCCTTGTGGGCTACAGTCCATGGGGTTGCAAAGAGTCAGATAACGACTGAGCAACTAACCCTTGTGTCTTGTATAAAGGGTAGGCAGCAATTTGATTGACAGAACGGGAGCAGTATTACCAGCAGAGGACATTTCAGTGGATGAGTGAATAACTTCAGGAAACCTCGACACGGACTTCCCAGGTGGCATCGGGCCGGGGGGGTCGGAGCGGAATCCACCCACCAAGCAAGAGATTCCGGTTTGATCCCTGGAGAAGGAAATGACAACCCATTCCAGTATTCTTCCCATGAACAGAGGTGCCTGACAGGCTACAGTCACTGGAGTCTTTTTTGAAACTCCAGGCTCCATAGAATAAATCACTATGCAGGCAAAGGAATCACCAGGAGTTGTAGAGAAGTAGTGAAGAATTTGGAGCAGAAAGCAAACTAGGATATCTTAGGGCAAAGGGA